TATTAATGGATCCAATTTATGTGATCCATCTGAATTAGCACATAAGGCAATTGAAAGTCTTTCTTTATTCTTTTTACGTCCAGAAAGTCTTTGTGTGGCTAATGTTCTATCTGGTTCTAATCTATAAAAAAGACCTGTTTCATCCATGTTGTATATTCTTTCAGGTGGATAATTACTACACATATTTTTTAATAATGGTAAGGCTTCAGTAATTGCATTTAGATCAGCTGATGATGCCTCTCCTTGAAGCTTTCGTACTTGAATTCCATTACGTTTTTTAAACCTATGGAGCCATCCAGAAGAGAAAGCCAATGTTTCTTCTGGTACCCCCAATCCATTTGCTATTTCCTTGGCTTTTTCAATTAAAATAGCATCGCTTAAGATTACTCTGTTTTGATAAATTAAAATAAATTCCTTAAGAGCAAGTTCAAGTTCAGGAACTGTTAGATTTTTGTGTCTTTTGGTATCTGGATTAGTAACTTCAGTATTAAGTATTTCTTCTTTTTTTTGCAGAATTCTTGTTATAGTTGTTTCAACCACTTTAATTCCCCATTTTTGTTCAATCCAACCAACATATTCTTTTCTGGTCATTTTATTATTAGAGTTTGCAAATAAACAAAATTCATATTTTTGAGAATTAGATAAAGTTATTTTACTCTTTGGAGGCATTTTTATTTAAAAGTAATAAAGGAATAAAATATTTTAATGAGATAAGTGTGAGTGTAAAAATTAGATGGTTGGATACGTAAGAATATATAGGTTAAGTTATAATGGAAGTTTTATTTTTTAAAATTTATTACAAGAGTTTAGTTATTAAATAAATTTCTTGATTCATGTCTTATTTATGATAATTTTGACTGCATAAGCTTCTCTACTTGTTTTCTTTGTTCTTTGTTCTAATAACAATAACCTTTGTATCTATTAAAAAAAAAAAAGAATTCTTTAGTTTCTTGTCACTTAATAAAAATGAACAATTCTTTACCCGCCTGTTACAAAATAATTCTTTATCTCTTGCTAATAATAAATTTAATTCTTTATTCATTATCATCATTTACTAAGTATAAATTTAATTCTTTTATATTCTTTATCATCATTTACTAAGTATAAAATTTTAATTCTTTATCATCTCTTACAAAAATCAATTCTTTATACAATTTTTTTTTTTAACACAACGAAGGAAACAAGGAAAAATTATTTAATTTATAACGTCGCACAATTTTTATTGGACGATGATCACGTGAAAGTCACGGGCGTGCACTTAGAGAGGGAGTTTTATATAGTTGGGAATGGAAAATGACCGTGCAGTGCAGGGGAGAGGGGGTGTGCACTTATCTCTAATTACCAAGCTTGGGAATGAGTGAGAGCGTGCACTTAGAGGGGGTTGACTGTACAATTTAGTGAATGCCTTTAAAATTTGTTTTGAAAGAAGCCCACCACTTTTTTCAGATATATATTTCATCATACTAATATGCAATGTTGTGCAATTGGAACATTGTAATGCTATTGGAATGTTCCGATGTGGCACCAATATGGTTTCAATGTAGATTGACCAATAAAATTTGTGTATGTGACACTCTAATTGATTTTCATTGGTTAACTTCATTGGAACTACATTTGGAACGTTCCAATTCCAATTAGAATTGTTGGAATGCTCCAATGAAAATTTATTGGAACCATAAATGGCACAACACTGCTAATATGCATATCTCTTAGACACAGTTGGACCTTCAATGTATTATCTAAAACTTTTTTGTCATTTTCAATTTTAGGTCCAGCTTGTTCACAAACTGAGAATTCTCTACCCCAAGCTAGATGATGACCTAAATCATGCCTCTGTAGAATTTTGTCAGTAAAAAATCCAAAGATTTTAGAATCA